TAGGAAGCATCAGTATTTGTACTACCAAGTGTCGTGGTTTAAGGCTGGGCCAGCCACTAAATCCTGGACAGATGCTCTCTATTAACCCCTCTCCCATCCCCAGAAGGGAAGAGAAAAGAGAATAAGGGAGAGAGACTTTACAGGTTGGAAAATAAAGCTAACAGATTTAATGAAACAATAATACTGATACTATAGGATAATAATGTAAATAGGAAAATAATGAAATATATACAGATATGTACAAATATATAGATACAAAACCAACATGAAATCCTTCCCCCACCCTCCCCCCAATGACGAATACGTCACCAGAGGCTCTGCGGAGCCGGGCACTGGAAAAGTCCCAGACCAAACTCAGCAGCAGGTGGGAGCAGGATGCAGGACACACAAATCAGGATCAGCGGCAGACGAACTTGCAGGGTTCTGCTCAGGTCCTGGCCTCTGCCAGGATCGAGACAGATGAAAGGGTCCGAGATGGAAGAAGGGTTTGAGACCCTTGTGATCCCTCAGCTTTTATACCGAGTATGACGTATGTGGGATGGAGTACCTAGTTGGGCAGTTTTGGGTCTGCTTCCCCACCCCCGTAGGCACAGACACAGCACCCATGGTGAGACAGCTGACCTTGAGCATATCTTCTAGCAGCGCTGTTTGGGAAAAACATGCTGCCAGTTTTCAGCAAGTTCAGCCACTTAAAAGAGACTGAGATGAAAAGTAAAATCACTAAATAGAAAATTAGTTCTATTTAGCTCAAACCAGGACACCAAGTTGCAGGTGATTAGTTCAGTGTTATTCCTAGAATCACAGGCGTGATTGTTCCTACATTACCGTGTTTTTTATAGACATTTATTACATAAATATTTTGGGTTCTGTTGTTCAGAGTAACTGAAATCTCTTTTCAGTTATTTGAAAGATAAAAAAAATCAGTAAAATATACAAGATCTATGTGTTATTCATTTTCAGACAACTAAGGAAGATGATACAGTTTAGGCTGAAGTTGTTTGTGCTTCTGGAGTTTTGTCAGTTACAGTTGACAGAAGGGAATAAATACATCAGGATTATGTTCACCAGACATCAGGAGGAGTGAATCAAAGCTCTGATGCTGGTTATTTATAGCTATTTACAAATATTTTACTTCTAAAAAATATTTGGAATAGGGAAAAGATTATTTTCCTTCACTTCTGTAGAAGTTTTATTTTCCTTCATATGCTGTGCCAAGCAAGAGTCTTACTCAGTTTTCCAAATTCTCTAGCACATAATAGTTAAATGTTTTTATGTCATTCATATTGACAGGAAGTCAGTTTGAGCAGCATTGGAAAATGGAAGTAGTTGGCAGAACTGGCTAATTTCACTGAATTTCCTTTTGCTAAAAATATCTGTAAAAGAAGCTCTCCTTTTGAGATACAATGAAAGCTTGTTTGACTGTAGTTTAGAATTGATGATGACTCTTGTCCTTTAAGCAAAAGGGCTTGCAAAATATGAAATAACCTTTTCAAACGTATTTAACTTCCTCTATAGTATGTGTAATTATGCTCATGTCTGCCAAAAGTTTACATACATGCTTAACTTGATGTATGTGAGCAACCCCATCAGCTTGAAGGATCTGCAATGGAAACAGAGGTTTTGTAGAGCGGTTTACGTGAAGTTGAACGTTAGTTTGTGTATGTGTTGGCAGGATTAAGGAGTTCTGTGTGTGGTTGCCCTGCTGAGTTTTGTCTCAAAACTTGGTTATTGATGTCTGAAATGGCAAGATTTTAGTCCTGCTAACTGAAAGCAAACATCATCAAATATATATTCTCGTTTATATTGCATATTGAAGACTTCCTGCTTGGACATCTTTCACTTGTGGAAGTAACTGAGGTCTGGTGACTGAGTGGATTTTAAAAAGAGAAAGCGTTGTCTCATGAACTGCAGCTCTGCCCTGGCTCTTGAACTTGCTGGGACTTTTTCCTCATGAAATAAAGCAAAGTGGGGAAGAAAGGTTGTAGAGATGCCAAGAGGAATGGGAATTGCCAGGACACAAAATGTTGCCTTTGTGGCGAAGGAGTTCACTGCTTCATGGAGTAACTGGGTGAGACGAGGCTGATACCTGCTGTGCACCACCGCTCTGCAGGGTGGAGAGACCTCCTGCTGTCAGGAAAGGGGAGATACCCATGCCTTAGGGGTGTCACGGACTTTGGAGAGGTGAGGCTGTTCCAGTTGAGGCATTATCTTCAATATGATTCCCCCTGCATTGGCTCTTACTGTGTTTCATTTGGTAAAGGTCTCATCATAAGCTTTTTCTTCTTCCAAGTGCTAGTTGTAGTCATTCTAGGTATTACAGAATTACTTTCTTTCCAAGCTGTTTTAAATACATTTTGCAGGCTCAGGCAGTAATTAAAATCCTTAGTAAAGAGATAAAAATTACAGAGGTGCAGTACCTTTAACTGTTCGCCTTTTGTCACTCTGAACAGAGGGTATATTTTGGAGGCCTGCTGCACTGCCAGCTTAGCTCCAGTTTCCATGGCTTAGAAAACCACGTCTGCCTGTGACTTGTCTGCAAGTTGCCTGCTCCTTACATCTTCATCTCTGAGCCGATGTTGAATGACCCTTTGTATTACTCTGAATTTTCTTTATATGTTTCAGATGATGTTTTTAATAACTTTTCAATTTTTATCCTTTTGTATAGGCAAAAGATTTTTGTTCCCTACCATAAAATGAGATGTTAAACTGGCATATCAAAACAAGGAGCCCTCCTTTTTTTTTTTAGGTACAATTAAAGTAGTTGCTGATGAAGACAGTGAAACGTGTGCAGATTATTTGGCACGTTTGCACTACCGAGCTGCTTTCGACAGTACTAATCTGCAGACATCTTTCATTTCTGAGGCTCTTTCAAATCCTCCTTCAGCTGCTGTGCACATAAGAAATGAAACAAATCTCATGACAGGTCCTAAATTTGATTAAACTGAAAGCTCATGAGAGCAGCAGCCCTTTGAGCATTTTGCACTTTAGGGGCTTGATGTGGAGCAGTAGCTGTCTGGCCCTGCTGCGTGGCTGAGTTTTCTGTGTATTGTCAGAATTTAGAAACTCTGGTAGTTCTCATTCTTTGTGTTACATTTCATACCAAAACCAAGTTGTCAGGCATTTCAGGCTCCCACCCTTTAGTCAGCTGTGTTTTCACATTCACAGTCCTATTCCTATTGCTGGAGTTTTACAAGGACATAGATTATACAGTGCTGAGAACAAGTGTTCAAACATAGCATAGTGAGATTGGTCTTTTTGAGGATGTGTCAAGCCGATGGATGATGTAAAAGCTGGGTGGAAGTCCTAAGAATGCAGTAAGGATCCGGCTTCTGCTGCTTCGGGAACTCTGCGCTGGTGAAAACTTCTGACTTTAAAGCTGTTGTTGCTTGCTGCTGGGAGATGGCCACGGGCCTTTGCAACAGAGATGTGCAGAACACAGTCCCTGGAGGCAGTAGGGGTTTTTGCTGTTACGGGGTTTGTAGCGCATGTTTAGTGATGCTGCAGCAGTAATGAATCGGGGTGAAGGACTGGAAGGCACTTCCTCGGGGGGGTTCTCTGTTGAGCTCTATGCTAAACAGCATGATTCGCAGCTGAGGTAAAGTGGCTTGCCCTTCTTACTGTCCTTAAGCAGGTGTTTCTTCACTTTTTTTTTAAATGTAAATGAATATGTTGAACCAAGTGTGCTCTTTTCTGTTCTCCAAGCACATGCTTATGCTTGAAGGCAAACATACATAGTAGAATTGTGCAATGAAAAATAGTTATTTGAGCTTTGCTAAAAATGGTTTGGATTTCTAGTACTTGCTGATGACTTCAGTGTGCAAAATATTATTTGATTTTGATCCTGAGTTTTATGAACTTGTGCAGAAGATGGAATGCCAGGACAGTGACACAGCTCCTGTGGAGTCTTTAAGGATATTTTAACATAGCTCAGTGACTGGGGAAGCAAGCTGCTCTTCTGAGATACATACAAACTTTCTTCATCAGTGAATGCTGCATAACAAAGGAAGTTGATTCTGGGCTAAAAGGTGGAGGCATGAAATTGTTGCAATTAATTGACCATTTATTTTCTTCCACAAAGGTACATTCAAAAGCCTCTCCAGAGTATTCAGAATTGTGAAGTTCTCAGGCATGTCATGTGTTTTGAATTGACACATGAAGCAAAGCTACTTTCTGTGATGCACTGTTGATTTTGTAAAAATTTAAATAGGTCTCTGTAGATCTGTTCACTTACTAAGCTGCGTTATAGTCGTCGTGGAGGGGGGAATTCAAGATACTCTCTAAAGATACATTATATCCTACTCTCATGAGAAATGCCTTCATAATTTTGCTGGTCTTGAAGCATAATTTATTATTTCTTCTGAGCTTTCAGTTGACTTTTTGTTAGGTTTATTTTAAAAATCCTTCTGTGTGTGTCTTCAGAGTACGTGAGGCTGGTGGCAGCGTTCTGCTCCATGTTAAAAGCAGAGACCTGCAGTTCAGAGCTGGTTGGAAGGGAGATCTGGAGGCAGAGTGTTCGTCTTACAGTAGCGTATTGGATTTCACTGTAGATTGAATTGAGACTCTTTTGTGCTGCGAGAATAAGCCCATACAGGTTTGTCTGGAGAAAGAGGCATGTAAAATTGTAGCAGATCTTTATTGACTGATTTGGCATGAAGAGGGGAGAGGATATTCATGTTGATAACCAGAGTGTTATAAGCACTAGCTAAGACGTAAGACGGTAGCTCAGATGTAGTACTGAAGGCAGTGTTGTTTAAGAACTGTAATCTTCCCTCATGTATACTAATTAGTGTAGCTCTTCTACCGCTGTGGGTCTTCTGAGCAATGTGTGTAGTATTTTTGGTTTAGCACTGGGTTTTTCATTGACATTTGAAGAGAAGGACAAATCATTAACCTGAGTTAGTGAGCACAGGCTTGATGCAGAAACATCCAACATTTAACTGGAAGTTAAGTTTTACATTTACACTAACTTTGGCTTCTCTTCTCTCTATGTTACAGAAGTACTAATACGCAGCATTTGACCTTCTAATCTGCAGCTGAATCTCCTGATACCAGGTGCCTTCAGAACCAATATGTAGCAAATGGGTATCACCCCTCCGAAGCTCGTCCTTTGGTTCAGCGCTTGCATGTTTTAAGGATCCTTGTCGCCTCAGCAGTGAATTGTTCTTGTGAACTTCAGAAACGGATTTCATGTGGTGCTTGCTGAACGCTGAGTCACCATGAGTAGTAATCTAGGAAAAGAAAAGGACTGTAAAGAGAAGGATCCAAAAGTCCCATCGTCAAAAGAAAGGGAGAAGGAGGCCAAAGCCTCCGGAGGATTTGGGAAAGAGAGCAAAGAAAAGGAGCCTAAGACCAAAGGGAAAGATGCCAAAGATGGAAAGAAGGACTCCAGTAGCACACAGCCTGGGGTAGCTTTTTCTGTGGACAATACGATAAAAAGACCTAATCCAGCCACAGGTACCCGCAAAAAATCCAGCAATGCTGAAGTGATCAAAGAGCTAAATAAATGCCGGGAAGAGAATTCAATGCGCTTGGACTTGTCCAAGAGGTCTATACACATGCTTCCTTCAGCTGTCAAAGAGCTAACGCAGTTAACAGAACTTTATTTATACAGTAACAAACTGCAGTCCCTCCCGGCAGAGGTGGGCTGCCTTGTGAACCTGATGACACTGGCGCTGAGTGAAAACTCTCTCACCAGTTTGCCTGACTCTCTTGATAACTTGAAGAAACTGCGCATGCTTGACCTGCGGCATAACAAACTGAGAGAAATACCTTCCGTGGTGTACAGGCTAAGCTCTCTCGCCACTCTTTACCTACGCTTTAATCGTATAACTACTGTGGAAAAGGATATCAAAAACTTGTCAAAACTCACCATGCTTAGCATACGAGAGAACAAAATCAAGCAACTACCTGCTGAAATTGGTAAGCGATGGTGCTGGTTGAAAGTTTAATTCTGTGCCTGTGTTCGTTTTGCAATTCAGTTAAATATGCATAAACTGCCACTTTTCCAGGTGCCCTTCTTCATTTAAACTTCATAAAATTACGCTCTTGATCATACTGTTGCAATGTTAGCTTATATTGAGAGTAAACAATACCTTGGATATATTTTTTAAGAAACGGCAAAAGCCCTTTTTCTTCATCTACCATCTTAAAATCAGATGTATCTTGTTTTCATCGTTGCCTTGTGTTTACACATATTGTGCCTTCAGAGCCCAGATGGTTTTAAAAGAAAAAAAAGATACAGGGGCATGTTGCATTTGAAGATTACTTTATAAATCATTTATGAACTGTTGCAAGTTATAAACACATTATGGGCATGTTACAGAGGGGTGTGACCATGGCGATACAAGGTAGACTGGGTAGCTACATGCTATTACCATGAGCAAGCTGTTGGATGCCGTAACAGTTAATAATGTGGGTTAATGATTTGTGAAAGCCTCTACCTTTTGCATGTCATGAATATAGTAATACATATACAGCGACCAAATGTACGCATGGCTGATGATTCTTAAGAGTTTTTACTGAATAACATTTGTTTTTTTCTAAATGTTGTTACAAAAATTTGAAAGATGGTGAGATTGTATGAAAGTGACTTATTAATTTAAATAGTTTATTTAAAATGTGCTGGAATAGCTATATATCAAGAACTCCTAAGTTGTTTCTAAGAGGTTCTGATTCATGGAAAAGCTCTCTTTATCGCACTGTTCTCAAGCAACCTTTGAGCAACCTACGTGCCTCACAAAAGGGAGATTCTATCATCAGTGGTATTTTTTTTCTATGTATCACCAGTTTTTATGCAAACTTAGCTTAGTCCCTTTGGGGGGAGGGGAAACATACATTTTATGCAGATAAGAAAATGCTTCGACTTTGAGTGTGGAAAAAAAGCTTGTGAAGCCTTTGTAACACTGTGAGTAATAATTCCTGTGCCCTGTTTTTTAAAGCTGATGTGGGATGTTTTCCTGTTAGCCAAGCCAGTGCACACAAGTATGTGAAGTGTGCCCCTATGTGCCTGTGCTCACTAACTTGGCAAAACCTGGGAGAGGCTCTTGTTTGGATCCCTCACAGATCTTTTTCAAACCAGCAATGTTTGCTTCATTCTCTTGCACCTTGATATGAAGGATACGTAAGATAACGTGTTCTTGATGGCAGGAACTCCTGCACATGTCTGAAACTGCTAATCCCGTTACCTGTAATGGCCGGTACGGACAGCTTCTGTTCATGATGGTGGGAGTGAAGAAAAGTAGCGAGGTTGTCAGTTGTCGGTCTCAGTCTTTGGCTCCCTGGAGCAGCCATTGGAATGGATCCTGCCATGGCCACAGAAACACTTTATTTGCTAGGCAAAAATGAAACGGTTCACGTGGTCTCATCACATTTTCTCATCAACGTGATTTTTGTGTTGGCAGGAGCATCTCAGCAGTCCTGGGAATTTCCCCTGGGAGAACTAAGGAGTTATGATTTTGACCTATTCTGACACTTCAGTTTAAGTCCCACAGCCTCTTTGAATCTTTTACTAATCAAAGGATTATACTGGAAATCTTGGGGCTGATGTTTGCAAAAAAATGCCAATGTATCGCGTGTTTCTACATATGTTGAAGAAATGGTGGCTGATGTAGCTCGTGGAGCTGTGTCACACAACTGTCAGTACTTTCTCTGAGTCTCTGTGGCTCAGTTATTAAATAACTAATAATCTAGCAGAGAGTCAGCTTCTGAGGTTCAACTGCAGACACTGCTTCAATTTAAATTAATACTGGTGTGTGAAGGAAAATCTTCTGTGAGATGTTGCATTCAAGTGTTTGGTGTTGCCCTTTAGAAACATTTTGCAGGTGTGTGTGATACTGCAGACATTGCTGCTGGAACTTCTTTGTTTCTTAACTGGTTTTTTTTTTTGTTGAGTTCTTATGGTTAAATTTACATTTAAGTGTGATATTTCTGTATTTGTTTTTCACAATACTCTTGAAAGAGATTGTGTGTAACAGTTTCATGGAGAAATTTAGTAGGTGTATGTATCATGATGGAATATTTTGAATTGTTTCTTTCTTTTGTATTTTTAATTCTTGTCTTGGTGTGTGTACAGGCCGTGCTCTCAGTTCTTTATCAGCCCCTAGCTTGAGAACATTAACTACTTTACTTCTGTCTTTGTACCCAGCAGTTAGTCGTGCCTTTATTGGTATTGTGATAATGCCCGTGTTCCTTGTTACGGGTCAGCACCTCATTGTGGAAGGCATTTCAGAAGCACAAATGCAAGACCACTGTCACCCTTATGAAGAATTTCAAAGGGAAATAGCTATGTTCAACAGCATCCTTTTTTATTGGAAGTAAACGTCTCTGACTAGGTTGCCTGTAATTGAATCAATTGAAAACTAAATTAATTAAAGGATTTCTGACTTTAAGAAACACAAATAATTTTAACTGCCAAGACATACGGAACAGGCGTTTGAAAACCTTTTTCCTCAGATAGTAAAAACAGACAAGATAGTTTCACTTTTGTAAGTGATTTCTGCTCGCTCACTTTCATGAATCTTTGTTCTAGTACAAAGATGAAATGTTTGTGTTGGAAACAGCTGAAAAATGAAACTGCTGAGAAATACATTTCTTACTTTCCAATGGAATTTCTCTGTTTCTTTAAACACTTGTTATTTCTCTACATTATACGTCCACTTAAAAAAACCCTTGTCTTTTAAGTCCCAATGATCTTAATCCTTTGTAGGTTTATAATACAGTTCCTAAATACTACATACAAGCAAACACTCTTATATTATCAGCTTGTAAATAACACAGAAATTTTTGTTGCTGCAAAGCGGGAAGTAAAATGAGGCCATTATCTTTTATAAAGCAATATCATGTGGAGCATGTAAAATTCTTTTTAAAAAATACCCTATTGTTCTGAGACCTAAGGCTTGCATATCTGATGGTAAGCTACTGTGCTTGTTCGTAGTTTTAAAAATTCAAAGCTTGTGTAACACGCCGACTCGTCCAGCAAGGAAGGGTCTTGCAGAACTCAGCTACGATGTGTTCGTTGCTTGTCTGATACAGAACTGTGCAAAGAATCCTGGGTTTCATTTACTTTGTCAGCTGGAAGTCGATGTGCTACAAAAGCTTGCCCTGGACAAAAAAAAAATAATAAAATGAAATAATAAAAAAATTAAAAGCCCAGACATCGGCTTGAAAGACGGCTTGTTGTTACTGTTCCCTCAAACAGCCAGCATTGGGTGTGATGGAATCCAAGTCTTACCGTAGCGCTAGAGACTTGGGATGGCTTTTACTGGCACTGAACACAGAATATCAGTTCTGTATAATTATAAAAGGCTCTTTCCAACTTTAGGACCTAACTGCTTTAAAATAGTCACTTGATTTGTAAGTAGTCATCCCACTTAATTACTTTTCTAGGAATCTCTAGTCTCCAGCCTTAGAAAAGAGAGTTTCTTTTCTTTTTGCTCTCCTGGAAAGAAATTGAAGGTAGCTCCTGGAGTCCTGAGTGCTCTGATATTTGAGACCCATCTTCCACCACCCAGTATGTCTATGGCTAGTTGATTTTTTGTGCCAGTGATGTTTCACTCTTCTTAGGTGTAGCAGTTTCCCTTTGTTGCTTGCATCTGCTCTCCATCGTATGTGCTGCCAGCAGTCACATCTTCTCCCAGTCATTGCTCAAACCACAATTTTTATTGTTGCATGAAATCTCAATTTCTTCTGTCACCCTGCTATCCTTTTTCTGTGTTGTCTTGTGTTTTGAATGCTGAGCGTGCTTGATTAGTTTGAATAAGCCATTCTAGATGAGAGCTTCCTACCAAATTTCATGTAGTTCCCATTATTTTTCATTACCTGTTTCTTCCATTGCCTCACCTTGCTAGAAAATCCTTGCTTTCTGACTTTGTAGAAGACAGTGTACAAGCTCGATCTTGAGGTGGGTTCTTAGGAGTCCTGGAGAGGTAACCTCCATCCAAGATGATATTTTACTTTCAGTCCTGTTATATCAATAGCAAGTTGTAGTCAATTCCTCAGGTGTCTTGACATCTTCTACTAGTTGCCACCTGAGTCTCCTAGTTATTTTCTACATGCTACTGCATCAGCCATATTCATGGAGTCTAGGTGGACTAGACTGAATAAACTGGATCTTCTGCGTCCTGGGCTGCATCACAAGAAGTGTGGCCAGCAGATGGAGGGAGGTGATTTCTGCCTCTCTACTCTGAGACCTCACCTGGAGTACTGCGTCCAGCTTTGGAGTCCCCAACACAAAAATACATTGAAGTGCTGGAGTGGGTCCAGAGGAGGGCCACAAAGGTGATCACAGAATCACAGAATCTTAGGAGTTAGAAGGGACCTCGAAAGATCATCCAGTCCAACCCCCTGCCAGAGCAGGATCGCCTAGACCAGGTCACACAGGAACACCTCCAGGTGGGTTTTGAATGTCTCCAGAGAAGGAGACTCCACAGCCTCTCTGGGCAGCCTGGTCCAGTGCTCTGTCACCCTCACAGTGAAAAAAGTTTTTCCTCATGTTCAGATTGAACCTCCTATGCTCCAGTTTGCTCCCATTGCCCCTTGTCCTGTCATTGGACATCACCGAGAAGAGCCTGGCTCCTTCCTCCTGACACTCGCCCTTTACAAATTTATAAACATGAATGAGGTCACCCCTCAGTCTCCTCTTCTCCAAGCGAAAGAGACCCAGCTCCCTCAGCCGCTCCTCACAAGGGAGATGCTCCACTCCCTCAATCATCCTTGTGGCTCTGCACTGGACTCTTTCAAGCAATTCCTTGTCCTTGAACTGAGGGGCCCAGAACTGAACACAATATTCCAAATGTGGTCTCACCAGAGCAGAGTAGAGGATCAAAGGACTGGAGCCCCTCTCCTACAAGGATAGGCTGAGAGAGTTGGGGTTGTTCAGCCTGGAGAAGAGAAGGCTCCAAGGGGACCTTACAGCGATCTTT